AAATATTCATGATGGTTCATTTCATATTTAACATCCATTGTAAGTGGTGAGTGTAGATCTTTAATTCTTTTGGTTAAGGTGCATGTTGGTTAATAATAATGGAACATAGTGGTTAAAATAAAGTGTTAATGAAATTAAGTTATAGTAAAATGTCAAAGAAAAAAAATTTGTATGTATAGTTATATCCAATCAAATCTCTAATCTTCTTTGTGATTTAATTTGAATTTTGAAGGTTCATTATTTGTAAGATTTAATCACTTGAAAATATGGTTGTTGACATATTTATTTTATATAAATAACAATGGTAAAATAGTATCCATACACTAAAAAGCAATGATTACTTTATTTAAAAACTCTGGTCCACATAAAGATTTCATTAAATCAGTTAACAGACTACGGATGAATGAAAGGGGACAGTTTTTGGCTCTATGACAGGTACTTTTAAAATCTAGCTGTTTTGTGAAATGTGATCTTGATTTTGTAACAATACCTGATTCAGAACATTCATGCACTTATGTTTATATATATTGCCCTCAATTATATAAATCTGTGCAATGCTATTCACTGACATCATGGACCACACTATTATTGAAACTAGATGCTTAACAATCATTTCCAACACTGTATAGAACTCATCTCTCTAACAGCACAAGTCACCAAACACTTCAAATTAATACTAAAAGACTCCTTGAAATAAAAACATTAACAGTCAGTAAGAATTTAAAGTTTTTGATCAAATACATGCATTAGAATAATATTATGATGATGCCACTGAAGAGTTTTTATAAGCATAGTTAAAAAAGAGTAGTTAAAAACAATTAGCAATTCAGGTCATTTAAGACCCAGGCTTCAAATAATTAGCTTCAAATAATTAGCTTCAAATAATTAACAATGTGGAAAGTTCATTAAAAAGAATGCATAAAATTTCTAATATAAATAAAACAAATAAAAAAAAAAATGGTGGCAAATTAATTCTATTTACTTTGATTCTAATAATAGCTTTGATGATTTATTGCCATTGAAAATGTTTGAGGTTTTGTTTATTGTTTAACAGCAATTTTTATTTGGTTAGTAAGCAATAAATCTTGATTGAATGAAGTAAATCTTTAGAATATTGGTGTAAACTCTGATATTATGTTGCTGCAGTGTACCTCAAAGCTTCCTGCTAATCATTTTTCTGTTTTTTCTTCACTTCTTTAAAAAAACTTGCTTTGCATAGCTGTTATTGATTTCCAATCAGAGGTTGTCAAAACGATGTCAGAACTTCATCAAGTCTTTTATTGATAGTATTAGCTGTTTTTCGTCTGAGTACAACTTTCTTGGCAGTGTAATTTGTAAATATATATTTAGTTTTGAATGTTTAAATCTTTCTTTTTAATTTTTGATTTTGGGTGAGTGGTCCATAATACTGTTTATTAAAGAAAACAAAACTAAATTGTATATAAAATTCAGGTAAAGCACAAATATAGTATATTATCAAATATAATATCACTATACTGTTTCATATTTTTTAATACTTCAAAAATAATCATGACATGTTAAAAAAGCGCTACACCACTAATTCCTTATATGTTGCTATAGGTCAGGGGTGTACAGTCGGACTTTTGTTCGATCAACAGAAGGGCAAAATTAATCAAAGTAATCAGTTCATGCTGACTTTGTGAGTTGCTCGTCGCTCTTTTTTATAAAAATTTTCAAATTCAATAGATTTCTTGCATATTGTAGTCATTTTTCATTATAGGACTAAGTGTAGACTAGAAATAATTTGCATAAATAAAGGTAATATTGTAAACCATTGATAACATTCACTTTTCTACTTTCAGATAAAGCACATGCTAATATATATGCCATTAGATTTTTCACTTGAATTGAGCGCTTATTTTATCAAAAAAATATGCACTCTTTTTTACAACAACAAAGTATAGACAAATAAAAAAAAAAAAAAACAATCTATAAAACTTTAAAACCCTTTACTTTTAATGTATTGTAATTATTTAGATCTTATTTGTTATTTATTTTAATTTTTACATACACTACTGACTATAAATAGTGGAATAGTCATCATAAGTATTACACTACTGATTATAATTATTCGAATGGTCGTACTTTTCAATATAAGATATCAAAGTTTTACTTACTATTGGGAGAATACCTGAAAACAAAATCTACCTGAATTATATCTTCCTACTTATTATATTTACAAAAAATTACAATAAAGCCCCATTAGATTAGTTCAGCGCTTGAAATAGTTTTTCAAAGCTTGCCGAACAAATGAATTTTTTCACAAAAACAGATTTTTTTCTGAATTATATGTTATCTTCCATTTTATGAGGTTTACAAAAAATTACAATAAAGTCCGATTAGATTAGTTTATAATTTACTTACCTATTAATCACCCTTAGCGACAATAACCACCATACATATTCTTGGCATTCTACTTAACGACTTATCCAATTTGTTGAAGTCAATTGTATGCCACTAACTAATAAGTTTTTTCCACACCTTATGCATCATTAGGCATTTGTTTTTGACATAACTTTAAATTCCTCCCCTAAAAATTCGAAACAGAGAACTTGTGATTGGGGAGGCTAAATCATTCTATTCAATATTTGATCATTCTCGAACTCAGTCAAATAATTTAAACAATGTTCTGAAGAGTATGTTTTGGATTTTAGCTTGAAGTTTTTTTTTTCTGGAATATTAAATGGCTTCCCATTAACCCAACTTTCTAAAGGTATAACATGACTTTTTAAGTGTCCAATTAAACTGCTTTTGTTATTATTCTCTCTATTTTTACAATGTCACTTGAGGCATTCCGACCAAAAACCCCCTCACATCTTAACACTACATTCACCATGTTTTACGGTTGATACTACACACTATTTTATCATACATTCAATGATTCTTTTTTCAGACAAACATCTTCTCTTGAAAGCAAAGATTTAAAAAAAATAAAAAAATTCTTCTTAAAAACCTTAAGTAACCTTAAAAAAAAAAAAGATAAAACTTGACTGTTCTCCTTAATTTCTCCTTTTTTTTTTTAGGAAATTTTATTAAAGTGAAGGATTATACTTATTAACAAAGAAAAAAATATATAGTTCTTGATAGTTTGCAAACCTATGTTGCTATTATATATATATGTAAAGTAATATATTAATTTATAATAATTTTTCTGTTTATATTTAAAATTTATTAAAAAAGTAGGATTCGGTTTCTAATGTTTTCTCCTTAATTCTCCTTACTTTTTCTTAAAAAAAAGTGCTGTTTGTGACCAAAATCTCCTTAAATATTAGGAAAATCTCCTTATATCTCCTTAAAATCCTTACTTTTAGCCTCAGTTTTAATAGAATTATGAATTAGATAGCAGACCATCAGAAAAAAATTTCTTTAATAAAAATTGTGAAACTATTTTACATTTATTTTAAACTAAATTCAATATTTACTATTTTACATTTCTTCAAAACTAAATTAAAATTTTTAAATCATATTTAGTTTAAGTCGTTTAAAATTTCTTAGTATTTTTGTTGAAGCGATAAAACTTTTTAATTTTTATTTAGGAAGTAATTTATAAATACGTTTAAACGCTCATACAATTTTCTTATGTTCTTATCAATAATAGAAAATGTGGAAAACAAACTTTGACACTGTGACTATAAAAATACAGTTTTATTATTTTAAATAGTTACTTTTCTTTTTATAGAATTCTTGAATTAAGGAAAAAAAAAAAATTAGAGCTGCCGATAAAAATCAATAGTCGCCCTTTAGAGCAAATTAAATGTGTCAAAGGAATATTTTAAGTCACCCTTCACAAAATTTGGTCGTCTGATACCGTCAGACGATCATGAGTGTACACTCCTGTAGGTGTATATATATATATATATACACCTATAATAAAGGTGTTAAAATTACTGATTGTTGTAAAAAATGGCTCTTAACTACTATATGACATATAACAAGACAAAATTACGCGCAGTTTATGTCAAAACCATTAAATTTAATTAAAGAAACTAATTAAATTTGATCATTTTTTAAAAACCCCAAAAGTGCAAATATTTAAAAAATATATTCAAGTTTATTAAAATAAAAGTTAATGCTAGGGTTTAACTAAACTGTCAATTTATTTAAAAATATTACTAAATATTGTTCAATATTAAAATTTTATTTATTCTTAAAAAAAATTTGCTCATTTTTATCACAATTATTGTCACAAGGCCTGTATATATATACTTATATATACAACCCTGGGTGTTAGGCATTCGGCAATGCCGACATAACTTGAGGTCGGCAAAAAATTGCTGATCTCATTTCTATGTTTTTGGGTCAGACTTTTGTATTAAATAATTTTTGCCGACCTGATGCCGACCTCAATATATATATATATATATATATATATATATATATATATATATATATATATATATATATATATATATATATATATATATATATATATATATATATATATATATCTGTGTATATATGTATATATATGTATATATACAACCCTTGGAATTAGGAAAAATGAGGTCGACAATAATTTGCCATCCTCAATCTTTTTTAGGTTGGCATCAAGGGCTGTTGACTCTTTAACATTTACATAGTTAAGAGTGCAATCGTAAGCGCAAGGCATTCTGGGATGTCCTGGTAGTATAGAATTAAGTTCACAACAACAAACTTGGCTGAAACTCTGCAAAGTTTTCTGTTTTATATTGCGTTATTCTTTAATAAATAATACTTCTTGTTGTTCAGAAATACCTTCAAATTGTGCTGCAACTAACTGTGCAAATACGAGTGGAATTTGTGCATCAATTATTTTAAAAGTTTAATTTTTATTTAACAAACACTAAGGGAAAATGTCTACTTCATAATGCCATTTCTACAGTATTTATGTTTTAAATATAGTCTCATGGCATCACATTCAGACTATGTATAAAATAGAAAGACGTAAATGCAGTTCTATCTGTCATGCACCAAAATTCTTGGAGCATTTGAATTAATTATTATTGTCAACTGTTATACTGACTTCTTATTGACCAACCAATTTGTTGATAAAAATAATACTCATTTTAATCTAATAAATTCAAAGAAGTTTCAGGCTGATAAACCTGCTCTATGTGATGTAACATCAAAACAAAATAACATGTTACAAAGGAAAATAACATGTTACTGTTAAGGGTGTTTTAACTTCGGATTAAGAAAAGAATGTTTTGTATTTTAAATGCTCTACCTCATTAGAGAATAAATGTTACAATAACTAGTATGTTAAAATGGTGTCAGGAGTTTTAAAAAAAAGTTTAGCTTTTAACTTGAAAAAAAGTTAGAAAAGCAGTATTTTCACATCTCACTTTAAGCAAAATTATTTAGAAAGTTTGATTAGAACTATTGAGAGCAACTATTCAGAGGGTTAAATTGAAAGACTTTCGAACAATTTGGATTAGCTTACCTGAATGTATTGTTGTTGTTGTCATTATAAACTAGCAGCTTTAAAAACAATTGTCTTAAAGAAATAGATTTAAGTGTTGTACTGCATATAAGTGCTTTATTTAAACATTTACACTTAAAAAACTAAATAAACAATATTGCCTATTTTTTGATGACAAAAAAAAAATCAATTCTTATAAAGAAAACAATTGTACAATGCATGCAGATTTTTCTAGCTTGTTAAAAAAGGGGTCTGACTGTGTCAACAGTGTGTGGTAATACTTTTTGGTGAAGCGTTGGATATTAGGCATGGTTTAGAGACCAATATGAAAACAAACAACCAAAATTATTCACCAAAATCTTTATCTATATTATTGATTTGTTATATTTTGTTTAACATTGTTCATGGAGTTTATTGAAAAGTGGCTTCGTACTAAAGACCTAGCTTTTAGATAATATTTAAAATCATAGAATTCTGTACTTTTGACGTTTTATTTAAAGATTGGTTTTAACATGCTTTTTATTTACAATAAAAAAAAAGTTTGCATATGTGTCAGAACAAGAATTTTGTCTATTATTCGGCTGTACATGATCTATGTAAAGGAAATAAAAAAAAACTTCAATATTGATAATTATTAAATAATGCTTTTATGTTTTTCTTTTAACAATCTGTTTTGATTTTATGAGTTAATGTGTCTATATACATTCATACATCATGTATTTATGTATAAATGTATGTAAATACATACATTTATACATATATATACATACATACTATGTATGTATGCATATATATATATATATATATATATATATATATATATATATATATATATATATATATATATATATATATATATATATATATATATATATATATATATATACACATGTATATATATATGTATGTGTTGAAACTTGAAACTTGATAATGATAACTTGGTATGTAAATATTACATGGTAAATTATTTTATCAAGTTTCATTTGAAGATTTTCAAATTGGTTTATTATTATGTGCAGATAAGCTTTATTAAGACATGATATATTTAATACTACACTGTGATATTGATGCTCTTTTAAAAAATATGAAACCTATAATTCTAATATGGAATTTTTATGAGAAAGTTATACGAGAAACCTATAATTCTAATATGGAATTTTTAAAAATAATGTCTAAATAGTATAAAAAAATAAGATTAACTCTATGAATAGTTTATAAAATAAATTAAGAGCAATCAATTAAATTCAAATTAAGAGCAATCAACAGCATTTGGGTATTGAAACAACGTATTTATTTGTTTTTAAATGTTATACTACCGGGGTATCCCACAATCCTCTGTAAACAAATTACTAGTTTTTACGCGAGTCGACAGCCCTTGGTTGGCATCAGGTCGGCAAAAATTATTTGATGAAAAGGTCATAAAACATAGTAACAAGATTGACAAATTTTTTGCCGACCTCAAACACTTTCAGATCGGCAGTTAGATCGGCATTGCCGACTTTATTTCCGAGGGTTGTATATATATATATATATATATATATATATATATATATATATATATATATATATATATATATATATATATACATATTATATATTTTTTTTTAATTCACTGCCTCAAAGCCATAAAGACCAATAGAGTAGAGGAGGCTACTTTAGTTGTCGTTACAACCCTCTCTCGACTCTATAACTCCAAAGCACTAACCTCGATTAACAAGGTGGCTTGATGAAGAAACAAGTTGATATACATATGCATACATCACCTTTATTACATGGATACTTGCCCAAAACTAATCTCTATTCAACATTATCATGTGCCTAAGTATGCAATTTAAAAGTTTTTATAAAAAATTACTATTCTAATATATATAAATTTATGCTAGATGATGCCTCCAATGGCAATACCTGGTGTCGATGACTTACTTGTTATCTCTATGTCTGGTTAGTGGAAGTTACTTTGTTACTTGTTTACTTTGTATTTATTATATTTAATTTTTTGTGACAAAATTTTGATTTGATTTTTTTTTGCTGTAAGGTATGAAAGCTAGTAATCTAAAAAAAGGCTTTTTTGGAAAACCTAATCCATATGTTAAAATTAATGTTATTCCACGCGTGAGACATCTTGCAGCATTTCAAAAGCATCATGGTCTTCAAGGTAAAACAGTACCAAAGCAGAATACTATTGATCCTGTTTGGGAAACTGAGGTTTGTTATAAAATGTTAAAATTGTTTTGTTATGTAGTATCATAGCTTTGCTATATTTTAACTCCAAGTTCTGTAAATTATGTAAATCAATGCTAATGGTAAGTTTTAATTAGTCACCCTCGAATTTCAGTTTAATTTAATAAACTAATACAAATAAATATAAATAGTTTTAAAAATTTATTTATAGATAGCGCATAAGACTTTCATTAAATGTTTATTTTTAAGTCTTTTAGGCTTTTAAGGGCACAGTAGTTAATTAAACAGCGTTATTAGAAATTTTATAGTTTAAATACCAGTGTAATATTTTAAACTCTATAAAAGATATTTTCAACAAATAAAAAAACTTAATTAAAAAAACTTAATTAAAAAAATTAATATTTTTAATTAAAGATTTTTTCTTTAGTTAAAAATATTAAAGTTTTTTTCAACAAATATTTTCATTTTTATTATTGTTAAACACTTGGTTTGTGAATAAACTACTTAACAAGATGTGAGATAATGAGTTTTTTAAAAATATATCAATTTCATATGAAAACAAGTTAAACAATTGAAAATGGATTAAACCCAATAATTTGTATAATTTAAAAAATATTTCAAGCGAATATTCATGTTCTTGTTATCACATTGTATTAAAAAAACATAAAAATAATATAGTTATTTTATAGTTTATAAATATGATTATATATATATATATATATATATATATATATATATATATATATATATATATATATATATATATATATATATATATATATATATATATATATATATATGTATATATATATATATATATATATATATATATATATATATATATATATATATATATATATATATATATATATATATATATATATATATATATATATATATATATGCATTTAATATCATTTTTGGGTAAGCATTACATGCAGACACAGTAAACTCTAGATGAGGTCTTATGTAGGTTATGTATACATTTTTCCAGAGGTTTTATCCATACTCAGGAAAGCGCTTTTCATCCATCCCAAGATACTGTTGGCTTGCTGTTGGAAGCACATTTTGTTGTATGTCTTTTCCAATTGAGGATAGATGTAATTATCACAACGAGGTCACATTTAGCTTCTCTTGATAAATATATATATATCAGGGCTCGAATTAACGCAAAAAAATCTAATCGCAAAAAAAAAAAAATTTCACAACCCCCTCCCCCGTATACCTGGCGCTGCTTTGCGATAATGGGTGGGGTGGGGGGTGGGTGGTAGAAAAGTTGCGTTAGTATATAATTGTAACTTTTGCACATAATTGTTCTATTTTTAACATATTATCTCTCATATTTAAATATAATCTTATAATTTTCTTGTTTGGCAGAGTTTAAAATAGCGTAAGTTACTGTTATTATTTACAACTTAAGTTAAAACTTAAAGTTTAAGTTGCAGTTGTAATAAGCAATAACGTTTTTAATACTATTAAGATATTTCTTTAAGTATATTTTTACTTAACATGATACTTAAAAAAGTAAAAGTAAAAAAGTTAGAGAAAAACCAACATTACAATATCTAAACCACTTTAATTATTCAAAGAAAACTATTTAATATGTTCATGCTGATGTTAAAACACGTGTTAATTTTAATTGTTAAAAGCTATAAAAGCTTAAAACAAACTTCAAAGTTGTTTTAAAAATATAAAGGGCCTGGGTTAATGTAAAACAGATTCGTGACGCTATTTCGTGTTGATTTATACGGTTTATAAAATAAAATGCGTTTAAAATAAAATGAAGCAAATAAATAAAATTGATCTAGTTAATAAGCTAAAACAAAACTTCATATTTGCGCCTATAGACCTATACGAGTTTATAATCTATAGACCAAATGAAGCAAAAAAGCATTAGATACCACGACTTTTATAAATTATTGTTTCCTAATCAAGCGTACTATTAAAAATTTAAGTATAATTAATTTTTTTATTCAAATGGTTTTCAAGCTGATGTTTTCATTCAATTTTTTTTGTTCTAATAGTTTTCCAAAATAAAGTGAAACAAAAAATTTAGTTTAATAAATCGAATTAGAATTGTATAAGAATATGCTTAAATTTTTTTTTTAGAAAAAAAAATTTTGAACAGAAGTAAAATAATTTATTAAATTTCATTTAATTTTTTTATAGTTTTTATTTTAACTTGCAATTTGCAATAACTACTTTGATGTTTGCAATAGAATGTTTCTACTTTTAAAACTGTTTTCAAGAAAAAATATATAATTCAAAACGTTAACAAAATTTACGATTTACGAAAAAAAAAAACTTTCTTTTTCATTCTCCCTTGTTTCATCAAACTTTTTTTCAATTTTTCAATTTTTTTTTCAATTTCAAATTTCAATCACAAAATTATTAGAGTAAGTGAATTTTAAAGCTAAAGTTCTCTTGTTCAAATAGATTTCTTTTTAAATAAAATTCCCGAAAACAACTTGCATATTTATAGAAAATGTTTAGTCTAGATGTTACTATATATAAAATGAAAGTATAAAAAAATAGTGTCGCGTTTTTCATAATCTATTTGACAATTTTTTTTTAAAATAATAATTAGTTAAAAGCTTATATTATGTTTTAACAACATGTAAGATCTAAATTAAAACATGTCTATGGCTAACACTTGTGAGTATATTAAATAAATTAACATAATTGTTAAATTAATACTTGAGTAACTGTAAGTTACTATCTTAACTAAACTGGTTGTTTTGATTTAGGTTATAAGTTAATTTACTGTGATATACTCTATCCATTCAGTAAAGTTAACTAAATATAACTTCAATAGTTTCAAGGTTGTTAAAAAAGAAAAACATGAAATTAAAAAAGTTGCTGGTTTCTATTAGTACAATTTTACTAATAGAAATTTTATTTAATAAAAACGAATTAATATATATTTTATTATACTTAAAGTATTAAAAATAGTTATATAAAATTGTTTATAATATAATAATTTAAATCATTATTAATAAGTTAATTTGGAGCAACATTTTTTTTAAAAAAAGATAAAAATGTTTTGTTAAACAAAATAGAATGAAGGAAAAATTTGCTTTTTAATTTGCTTCTACGCAGAGATTTAAAGTAATTTAATTTAAAAAGTACTTTACGTTGAATAAAAATCTCTGAGCGAATAAGCAAGATCATGCGCGCAAGATCATGCATTGTGAATAGAAATTCAAGACAAACTTTGTGTGACGTACTTTACTATGAAAACATTACTTTTAAGAGTTGTCAAAAAAAAAAGCTGAATTAGAAAAATAGTAAATAAACAACTAAAAAAGTAATCCAATCGCGAAAATATATGTTTTAAGTAAAAACTAATCGCGAAAGTGTAAAAAGCAATCGTGATTCGCGATACGCTTAATTCGAGCCCTGAATATATATATATATATATATATATATATATATATATATATATATATATATATATATATATATACATTTATATACACAAATCCTAATACTCGCAGACAAAACCAACATCATTTACCAAAAACCCCCGAAGATTACTCCAAATTATTAAAAGAAAACATTACCAAAACATACAAAAAGCCTCTAAAAAACTAGACAATTCAATCAACCTCGAGGCAAAAAGCATAACAACTAAACTAAATATAAACAAACAAATCAGTATAATCACCAAATCAGAAACATTCATTACATTAAAAGACCACAAAAACAACTTTGAAAATCAAAAACCTTGCTGTCTATTAAATCCCGCAAAAAGTGAATTCAGTGTTATCAGCAAAACATACCTATATAAAATCAACAAGAACATAAAAAATAAATTAAACTAAACCAATGGAAAAACACAGCAGAAGTAATCAAATGGTTTACAAACTTAAGTGACAAGCAACACTGTATTTATACAACTCGACTTTAATGAATTTTACCTATCCATCACAAAAGACATACTAAACAACACTTATATTTGCAAAACAACACACTGAAATCAACAGTAAAAAAATTCAAGTCATAAATCTTTACAGAAAATGGCTATTATTTTTGAAAAATGAAACATGGATAAAAAAGACGTATAATGATTGTTTTGATGTCACAATGGGTTGTTTTGACGGAGCCGAAGTATGTAAACTGGTGGGTTTATACATTCTAGACTCTTTATCCAAAACCATTACTAAAAATGTTATAGGTCTTTACCAAGACGACGGATTGATGGTGATGCACAAAAAAACTACCACACCGTTAGACAAAGTCAGAAAAAATATAATTGAGATATTTAAAAAGATCGGATTTCAAATAGAGATTCAAACCAATCTAAACAGTGTTAATTTTCTTGACTTAACTTTTAATCTTCGAAAAAACTAGTACCAACCTTTTAAAAAACAAAATGACCAGCTGCTCTACATCCACACTAAATCAAACCACCTGCCCCAAGTCCTTAAGCAGATCCCTCTCTCCATTAATGATTGGCTATCACAAAGTTCTTCAGATGAAAAAATAATTAACGCATCAAAAACAGAATACAAAGAAGCACTTAAGCAAAATGGTTTTAAAAACTTTAACTTAAAGTACAACCCAAAAAATGACCCCTCCCAAAAGAAAAAGGAATATAATTTGGTTTAACCCACTCTACAATAAAAGCGTCTCTACCAATGTTGGCCAAATCTTTTTGCAATCAATAGATAAATGTTTCCCACCTTCAAACCGATTGCATAAACTATTCAATCGAAACACTATAAAAATTAGCTACAGCTGCTCAAATAACATAAAAAAAAATCAAAAGTCACAACAAAAAAATAAATTTAATTAACACAACTGAAAATCTCCCTTGCAATTGCAAATAAAAAGAAATCGGCCTGCTGAACAAAAATTGTAGAGCGACAAACATCATTTACAAATTTATAACATCTTCCCCAAACACGCCTAGCAAAGCATACATTAATTTATCAGAAGGAGTGTGGAAAAAGAGGTATGCAAGCCACAATCAATCATTTACAAATAAGAAACTTTCAAATGCAACCACTCTCTCAAAACATATATGGGAAAAACTGAAGGAAACACCAGAATTAACTTGGTCTATCCTAAAAAAAGCCTCTGCCTGCAACAATACAACAAAAAAAATGTTTACTTTGTTTATATGAAAAACTGATCGTTTTACTTTATAAAAATGCTGAAGAGCTATTTAATAAAAAAACAGAGTTAATTTCCAAGTGTCATCACGAAAATATATTTCTATAAAGCAACCACAAACCTGAAAATTAGATACACGTGCTCGTAACAATAAAAAAGTTTATTCCGTATAGGTTTCTTCTGTATAGTTTCAATTGTATATAATTTTTAAACGAACAAACTATATTTGTATTTCACCTGATGATTGCAATAGCATGAAACTTGAAGTTGTGAAAATCACATAATTTTATTTTCTACTATATATATATATATATATATATATATATATATATATATATATATATATATATATATATATATATATATATATATATATATATATATATATATATATATATATATATATATATATGTATATATATATATATATATATATATATGTATATGTATATATATATATATATATATATATATATATATATATATATATATATATATATATATATATATATATATATATATATGTATATATATATATATATATATGTATATATATATATATATATATATATATATATATATATATATATATATATATATATATATAATTATTTTATAAACATCAATAAGTACCAATTTCTCTCGATACTAAATTAATTTTTTAATTTTTAAAAGAAATTTTCGCTGGATTGTTGTGACTAACATTATTTTACAGCTAAATACGGAGCTGAAATATATAACAAAACAACAACATTACAAAAAATGAAGAAAAATATGGCAAAGTCAAAAAATCAATATATCTTTCTACAAAAATGTGTCAAACACAAACTTAACCCTAAGTCATTAAAAATTAACTGTTCTATTAATAACAATAAAAGTAAAGTCGTTATTCAACGCTGCAGGTTTGAACTTCTTATTTTTTCTGAAAAATGATTTATGAACATGGTTCTTTAAACAAACTAATACAGTTAAATTCATTGAAAATGAACTCACAAATATACTTAAAATGAATGATTATGAATCTGTAAAAAGAATCACTGAAAAAGCACGAGAAAATATGTTCGTGAAATCAAGAGACAGATTAATTAAAAAATTTAAACTTCTTCAAGTTCAACACGTTAAGCAAACATCCCATTCAACAATCTATACTAAAGAAGCTGTTTTAAATTTATGTGATACATAAATTCCAGAACATCAAAAAAGTCTCCTTAACCTTTGACCAAAATTTGTACCAACAATAAAATCTCTTCTGTATCTTAACATCATCTCAATAACTGAATCATCTGCACTAAAGCTTGAATTCAACAAAAAAGATGAAGCTGCACAAATGCTGAGGAGAGAAGTTTTGAGAGAATTAAAACTAAATAAAAATAATAAAAATGACAACCTGACTCGTGAACAACGGAAAGCACTTACTCAATTAAAAAATGATAACAATATTGATATATACCCATTTGATAAAGAAATGGGCTTTGTAACAATCCCTCATAATAAAGCAATAAAAAAGATTTGAAAACAAATTGGGCCAACTAAAATTATCAATGAGGATCCGACACAATGTTACGCAATAAAAGTCAAAATCTAACTATCAAAATTAAATAGAAAACGTCGGTTCACAAAGGATAAATATCAGTAAATTTATCTCAATGACCGGATATCACCTCGAATGTATGTTGTAATGAAGGTACTTAAACCTGAACAATCTTACCCAATGCGAATTGTAGTATCCACAATAGGCACACCCAACTAGGGAATCTCAAACTATTTAGTAAAACTAATACAACCAATATTAAATAAAAACCCAACTCGATATATTGATTAAAAAATTCACAACAATTTATAGAAAAATGCAAAATCGTGGGTCATATTCAGTGACGAAATTCAGGTATCATTGGAAGTTATAAATTTATACCTGTCAATTCCTCCTAAAGAAGCAACTGAAGTACTCAAAAGTTTATTGGGGGTGAGCGATAATTTTAAAAAAGGGACAAAATTAAATATGAAAGAAATAAAAATTCTGATAGAATTATGTGTATACCGACCATACTTTTTATGGAACAATGAAATACATAAACTTGAAAATTCAGGTACGATCAGTCTATTGTTTATGGTTTAAGTTTTAGCTGAATCTTTTCTTCAACATCTTGAAAAGGGAGCACTTAATACAGCGCTGAAAATCAACCCGATTATTGATTTAAAGTCATTTTATAGATATGTAGATGACAGTCATGCTAGAGTCTCTAACATTGCCCAGACTGATCAATTTAAGATAATAATCAACAGCATCCAAAAATATAATATACTATCAAATTTGAAAATGATAAAAAAACACTATTTTTTCTAGACATGCATAATAAGTAACAAAAATGGTATATATGAATTTAAAATACACAGAAAAAAATGCAATTACTAACATTCAAGTTAAGTCAAACCATGACCCACAAATTTTAAATGGAATATTCAAGAGTTTTGTACATTGAGCATTTAATGTATGGAGTCAGAAACAGAAAATGAACTGAAATTCATTATTCAAGTATTTCTTGAAAATGGCTAGAAACAGTCCAATCTCATAAAAATCATAAAAGAAATAAAACGAAAGAACAAAAAATCACTAGTGACTACTAAAAACATTGAAAACATCACCAGTACGTATCCAACGGTTTCATTACTTTGGGTAACAATATTGTCTCCCAAATTATGTGAGGTGTTTATTTGGTATCAATTTAGATGAGGGACAATATGTGTCAACAAAATTTTCATTTTCACCATTTCTGGCACACTTATGTCAGAAAAAGATGAAACCATCCCATTGACATAAAATAGAACTGCCATTTTAAAAATAAGATATAAACAAAAACAAACAAAAAACTTTTAAGCTGAAGACACTGGTACAACAATCCAGCAAAACTTTCTTTTAAAAATAAAGAAATAAATTTAGTATCAAGAGAAATTTGTATTTATTAATGTTTATAAAATATATATATATATATATATATATATATATATATATATATATATATATATATATATATATATATATATATATATATATATATATATATATATATATATATATATATATATATATATATATATATATATATATATATATATATATATATATATAATCAGTATGAAAAAAACAACAACAACAGCATAATTATATTTTAAAAAAGAGTTTTTCTACAAAATAAGCTAGAGATTTTTCTTTTATTGTGCCTGGTATAAAAGCATAGTTTTTAAAAGCATTAGACTGAAATAGCCTGAATTTTGAAAGTTTAAGAACTTTGCAAAAAGTTTTAATAGAACTTTAGTTCAAAATTTTTAATCAATCATTAAAAAGAAACAGTATAAATGGGGCATAAAATTTATTTGTTTATAATAAATTTATTTATAATGATAAATAATTAATTAATAATTGCTATCAGTTGTTTATACTTTTTGACTGGTTTTACTTCCAGTGTATTTTTTTATGTGTTTAGAAAATATTGTTATTTGTTCTTGGGTTTAGTGTTGGTGTATTTGCGTATTGTTTTTTAAATCAGTATTGTTTGCATATTTTTGTGAAAATGTTACTTATTGTATGTGTATTTTTGTGTCAATAAAATTATTACATATAAAACATCATTACTGTAACTCTTTTTTTAAAGGCATTTGTGTTTTCTGGCACAGCAGCTGACTTGTTAGAAGTTGAGGTTTGTAACAAATCGAAACCTAGACCAGCATCAACTCGAAAATTTCTAGGAAAACTAATTTTTCCTGTTTGTAAAATTATTGATGGCTGTGGATTATCAACGTAAGATAAAAAATTATCCTTTTATAGTTTTAGTATTTTTCTGTATTGTTAATATTGTGTATATATTATGTCTTTAAACTACAGCATAAAACTTTATAAAAAATTTCCTTTAAAATTAATAACTCTCAGTTTGTTTTGAATCTGAGTGTTTTTATTACAATAAAACACTCAGAAACATATATATACAACCCTTGGAATTAGGGTCGGCATTAGGCAATGCCGACCTAACTTTTTTGTTATCTTTCTTTTTAATAGGTTTACAAAAAAATTAATATAAAATCCAATTAGATTAGTTTATAGTTTACTTGCCTTTTAATCATCATTAACCCCCATACATATTCTTCGCATTCTACTTAACAACTTATCCAATTTTTGATGATTTTGATGCAAAAGATGTGGAAAAAATAATAAGTATTTTCCACATCTTATGCATCGTTACACATTTATTTTTGACATTATTTCCAAAAAAATCCGATAAAAGAGGGATCTTGTGATTGGGGAAGCTAAAGAATTCTTATCAATATTTGGTCGTTCTAGAACTCAGTCAAGTAACTTATACAATTTTTTTTTGTAAAATATTTTTTGGATTTTATCTTTAAGTCATTTTCTTCTGAAAAAACAAATGGCTTCCTTATTATCTAAGAGTGCAAAAATAAACATAAAAAATAGTAAAATAAAAAATAGCATTTAAAAAAAATTTAATGTCATTCAAATAATTATGAACAGTAGTATATATATATATATATATATATATATATATATATATATATTATATATATATATATATATATATATATATATATATATATATATATATATATATATATATATATATATATATATATATATATATATATATAATATGTATATATATATATATATATATATATATATATATATATATATATATAATATATATATATATATATATATATATATATAGATATATATAGTATATATTATATATATATATATATATATAATATATATATATATATATATATATATATATATATATATAAATATATATATATATATATATATATATATTTATATATATATATATATATATTTAATTGTTTATGTAAGTTGAGTTTATATAACTTTTATTATGATAATTATAAAGTTTATTAATTTTTTTTTTAATATTTCACTTAAATAATAATAATAACCTCTAACTGTATTGTTAATCTAGTTCTTGCAGAATAACGCAACATCTTGTTGGAAGAACAACTTCTGATAAGGTTCAAGGTACATTTTCATTCACAATCAACATAAAGAAGTCATTTGAAAAAGCTGAATATCGATTTTCGTAAGTTTTTTTTTTTTTAATTTTAACATTTTTATGGTGTTTTCACAGTGTTTAAAGGAAAATTTTGAAAATTAATAATTTTTTTTTCTTCAACATTAAATAAAGTTATTACTTGATAATTAGTTTCTAGAAATAGAGTTGCATAACTGTAAATCTAACTGTAAGTCTAGAAATAGAGTTGCATAAGCTGTAACTGTGTCCTTCAGGATTTTTTAATAAAAAATTTATGAAAATTACTTGTTAATTTATAAGATTTAAAGTTAATAATCTCAATTATTGCTAGGCATTTTACAAACATATTAGAGCTTTATTTTAAAAGTGGTATTATTCAATTTTTAAATTTATTTAATTTAGATTAAGAAATTAACATTAATTAAATATTTTAAAAAGAAATTAGTAAACTATCAAGTTAACTATTACTGTTAGAATTTTGATTTGTTAGAATTTTGATTTGTTAGAGTTTTGATTTGTTAGAATTTTGAATTGTTAGAATTTTGATTTTGTTAGAATTTTTATTTGTTAAAATTTTAGTTAAATTTGATTCTTACAGTGGCGTTGATGTTAACTTCTTTAAAGAAGGTTGTGGTAATAGTTTGAATTAAATTGAGTTGAAATGTGCTGTATAATTACATTATTTTGTCATTTTTAACATTCTAAAAGAAAATAATTTAAAAGAGAACAAAGAGTAAATCATGTTTTTTTCAATAATATGGATCATAATCCACAATTGTTTCATTATCTGTTTTCCTTAATTACATTTAATACTATAACCACAATTGGTTAAAATATATCTGATTTTAAAGTAAATTTTCTAAAGAATCCCTAAGTGCCAAAACATGTGTTCATATTAAAGAAAATGTTTAAAGAAAACATTTAGGCTAAATTTTTTTGAATAAAATTAAATAATAAATGCATATCAATAAATGAAAAATTATTGTTTTATTCGAACTTCACTTTCTCCATCTTTTCTAGGTTCTTTGAGTCATAATATACGCCGCAGTCTACAGTCTGCATAATTTATTTCATGCGCGTTTAATTTTTTTTCAAGATATTGAAGTTTCTTTTTTTAACCATAGTCAGCAAATCATATTTGTGTTTTTATCCCAAAACATCTTAGCAAAATATATATTATTTTTTTCTGTGTAAGAATATATAAATCAAATTTATTCTGTAAAATTTGTATTATCTAATACTGGACCTAATAGTGTGCTTTCTAGCCTGTTTGACACGGAACCCTTGGTTCCGTGTCAAACAATATTATTATAACATTTTTTTTCGTTAAAAAAATCATATAATTTTAAAAATCTTTGCCTAACAAAGTGCCAGTATGGCTGAGTGGATAGCGTGGCGAGCTTCTGAACAAGTTAGCCGTGGTTCAACTCCTACGACTGGCTACTTTTTTTTTTTAAATTTTTTTCGATTATTTTAAAATATAGTTATATAGTTTTATAGAGATTGTATACAAACATATGTAACGATATTATACACTTTCACAAAAGAAAAGATTTAAGAAAGCTAAAATTTCATAAAACATAAAAAAACATCACTGGGAGAAAAAATTTGTTGCGTATGTGTCATGATTGAGATACTTATGTTGTTAATGTGCTCAGGTAATTACTCCTAATAAGCTGTGGATGATCTGAAAAAAAAGTTGTCTGAAACTTAATAAAAAAAAAACTTAATAAGAAAGTCCTGCTACTCAAGAAGGTGCTGCTGTGGAGGCAAAAAAAACTAACAAAAAACCCTGTAGCTAGATAAAACTTAAAAAATTTCTTTTGACAATTAAAAGTTTATTTTGCCGCATTTACTTTTTTACTATAAATATATGCTGCAACTGTTTTTCAAAACGCTTTAATATGCTTATTACCATTTCAAGTAAAACGCAATTTTGTTATCCTTTTATAGTTTTAGTATTTTTCTGTATTGTTAATATTGTGTTAGGAAAAATTTGTTAGGAAAAAAAAATTGTTAGGAGAAACTCTTTGTAAAACATTTTTTGAAATGAATAGTTTTTATGAATTTTTTTCAGAACTCTTTAAAAATATATATTCAAAAATGTTTGTAGACATCTAAACTAGCTTATTTTGTAAAAAAGTCAAATTTAAATTTTTTTATCATCAGGTGTTTTGTTGCGCTTAACCATCCCTATATAAACAATATTTATATAGAGATGGTTAAGCGCAATCATATTTCATACGATCAACAAGTGATATTTAAAAAAAACATTAACTAAGCAAATATATAAATTTTTTTTTAAAAAAAATCTTTTTCTTTATCTTTTTTAAAATATCTTTTATAAAAGATATGTTTAAGGATATTTTTCAGAATTTAGTGAAAAATTATATTAATGATTACCTGATTCTCGGACGAAAAATATTTGATATCTTGAAAAAATCTACAATAATGTCATATACTGAAACTGTTATGAATTACATACGCATAAAATAAATTATGTTGTCTGCAGATTGTGACGTGTATTATAAAGACTCTGAGAACCAAGAATGGCGAGTTTCAGCTAAAACAATAGCTTTTACTTTATTGATATGCATTTATTATTTAGTTTTTAAATAATAAATGCATATCAATAAATGCATATCAATAAATGCATATAAAAAAAAATTCAGCCCATATGTTTTTTTTTTTAAACATTTTATTTAATATGAACACAATTTGTCTCAGCACTTGGAGATCCCTTTAAACAAAAATATGTAAACCTTAACTTTACAAAATGCAGGTTTCACCAATTTCAACAATTTTTTTTATCGTTGTTACAGTCCTATGTAAACACTTTAACTTTAAAATTCAGTAAGTAGTTTCGAAGTAAAAATTAAGTTTAAAATTGTCTAAATTTCAACTGGTCATGTTAATAATTTATTTTAAAAGTTATAAAACAATTTGCTCATACAATACAAATTAATTGAGAAAAAACATTTATCACTTGTTTTTAAAATTTTTAATTTTTTAAATTCTTTTTCTATTTTCATATATTTTAAACTGTTTAAAAACTTTTAAATTTGTTTATATATATATATATATATATATATATATATATATATATATATATATATATATATATATATATATATATATATATATATATATATATATATATATATATATATATATATATATATGTATATATGTATATATATATATATATATATATATATATATATAAATATATATATATTTATTTATATTTATATATTTATATATTTATATATATATATTATATATATATATATATATTATATATATATATATATATATATATATATATATATATATATATATATATATATATATATATATATATATATGTATATATATATATATGTATATTTACATATATATATATATATATATTTATATAAATATGTATGTATATATGTGTATATATAATATATATGTGTGTGTATATGTATATATATATATATATATAAATATATATATATATTTATATATTTATATATATATATTGTATATATATATATATATATATATATATATATATATATATATATATATATATAAATATATATATATATATATATTTATATATTTATATATATATATTGTATATATATATATTGTATATATATATATATATATATATATATATATATATATATATATATATATATATATATATATGTATATATATATATGTATATTTACATATATATATATATATATATATATATATATATATATATATATATATATATATATATATATATATATATATATATGTATATATATATATATGTATATTTACATATATATATATATATATATATATATATATATATATATATATATATATATATATATATATATATATATATATATATATATATATATATATATATATATATATATATATATATATATATATATATATATATATATATATATATATTTATATAAATATGTATGTATATATGTGTATATATAATATATATGTGTGTGTATATGTATATATATATATATATGTGTGTGTATATATATATACATACATACATACATACATACATACATACATACATATATATATATATATTTTTTTTCTGTTTTTAAAGCTCGTCTGTCAAGAAGAATATCAGCATCTTGTGTTAGCGATAAAGAAACTCTTCCACCTTTACCAAATTCCAGTTCTCTTACATTTTCTGATGATGTAAATAAAAAAAGTCAGCGACCATATTCATATCACCCTAATGGAGCGAAGCGATCTCTAATTGGATTTGAAAATAACTCATTTTTTGAAGATTTTAATGACATTTGCAAACAATCTTCCATTAAAGAAGAAAATAGTTTATTTCAACATAAAAGCAAAAGCCAAAGTACTGAAATGTTATGTTTTAATGATTTTAGTAATAGTCACAATGAGGAAAGTTCAGTGCATAATTATGCAGAACTTGAAATAGAGCCAGATTGCTTACAAACGTCAAACAGTGAGCTAACACTTGATCAAGCTAATTTATTTGATACAAACATAAGTTCTTGTGTAAATTCTTTCAACCAAGGTATTGAACAGCTTCCAGGAAGTAGTCCTAGTATTGACAGTTCACTCTCTAAAGAACATGTTGAGAGTCAAAACACTTCAAGTGATTTTTCAATTAGTTCAGGTAGTAAAATTTCTGCTGATATACTTACGTCACCAATAAGCAAAGATATACCAACAATTGAAGGTGGGATGCCATCAACAGAAAATGGAATTGGGAGGGTTGAATTTAATTCAGGAAATGATATTGATGACGAAGATGCTGATGATGAGGGATATATTGAAGTTGAGCATGAGTTTACAAGAGATGAAGAGTTAGAATCAAATGCCTCATATGAGTCATCTGAAGCTGATGATTTTAATGACTCTTCTATTTTAAGAGCTAATAGTCGTCAGCAACTATTAGTAGATGACGAGTATAGTGATGAGGATTTGTTAAGTTTTGTTTCTCCAGATTTTGCAGATGTTCCTTCAAGTAGCAAAACTGAAAATGAAACGGATACAAGTCAGAGTGATTCATCTGTTCCTATTGTAAAAAGTTCTGAATTTTTAAATGTTGTAAATTCGACTCCTGACAATTTAACAATCCAATCAACAGCTGAGTGTAGTTTAAATAAAATTAATGGGTTCACTTGCACAGAAATAAATAAAAGTAACGAGTTTAAACACATAGAAAATAACTATTTAGAAGGTGATGGATTAAAATGCACAGAGTTTTTTGGACAATTAGGAAAAAATATAACTAGTGATAAATCAATACAGCCTGTAGACATTACTTCTGGTTCTTTAGACCAAATTTCTCTGTGTGATTTTAGCGGTATTATAAATTCTAGCAGGTCTGTTTCATCAATTGATGCTTGCAGTGAACAAATTGGTTCAAACTTTATTAATTCATTTACAACAAACTTTTTGACTGATCCAATAAGTAATCAAAATAACTTAGCTGATGTTCCATTTCAAGTGCACTGTAATGAAACAAGGAAACTAGATTCCAGTACTATACAGCATAATAACTCTGACACACTGATTTCTAAAACAGTTAAAGATAAAGAAACACCTGTAAATAAAAATAATAAAATTAAAAGCTCTAAAACTAAACAAACTCAACAAGCAAGTTTTAAAAATAAAAGTGAAACAAACAATACTGAAAGATTTTCAGAGAATGCTAGTAAAATAGGTGATAATCTGATTACCCTTATACAAGAGTTTCCTCCATTTACTAGTAGTAGTGCTGCAGCTACAAATAAAGACAATTTTTCAACGCCAACTTCGTTAGTTCCTTCTGAACTTCAAAGTTGTAAATATAAAAGTTATAGTAAAGAGTTACTTCAAATGGACTTGTCTCCTTTTTCATCTGTTGAGATGCCGAGTACGCAAGTAATGCCATTAACCACTTCAGCTGGAGGTCAAAGGCCTGATTTATCTTCTACTGTGGAAGAAACAACAGTAGCTGAACATCAGTCAACATTAGAAAGTAGATCTAGTGAAAGGCGTCGCAGTGCGCGTTCTCGTAAATCCAGGACTCGACAAACTATTGAGTCATCTCTTTTAAACGATGTTACTGACAATGCTCCTCCCTTATCCAAAGATAATCCTCCTCCTCTTCCTCCTCGCCAGAGCAATCCATGTCGCATAAACACTCCAGATGTAGATCTTAATTCAAGAATAATTACTGATGAAGCATCTAGTTTGTCAAATCAGTCTGTATCATCTGATGCAGCAACTACTCCATCACATCAATCTGTACCAACAGGTGGGGCTAAGCCTAGACCAAAACCAAGTATTGAAAACAGAAGTTCTGAAAATTTGTCTGAAAATACAAAAAATCGTCAACCTCATTTATCTCGTCAACAAATTGTTAGAGAATCATTGCGTCAAATACCAACACCAAAACTAATGAATAGATTAACTTCAACAAGTGGGCGCACACCTGCTGAAAGGTCTGCCTCAAAACCAGCTTTAACTAATGAAGATAGGTTACCAAAAAGTAAGTTTACTTTATTACATTGGCATAGTTTTAATTACATCAGCAATATATATATATATATATATATATATATATATATATATATATATATATATATATATATATATATATATATATATATATATATATATATATATATATATATATATATATATATATATATATATATATATATAATATATATATATATATATATAACCCTCAGAATTAGGAAAAATGAAGTCGGCAATAATTTGTCGACCTAAATCTTTTAGAGGTTGGCTGGATGTCGACAAAGAAAAAAATTTGATACAAAGGTCTTACTATAAAACATAGAAAAGAGGCTGGCAAATTTTTGCCGACCTCAAACACTTTAAGGTTGGCAGTTAGGTCGGCATTGCCAAATACCGGCCCTAATTCCAAGGGTTATATATATATATATATATATATATATATATATATATATATATATATATATATATATATATATATATATATATATATATATATATATATATATATATATATATATATCAAGCTTTCCCAGGAAAGGCGTGCGTTTTTTTTTCTCGTACGACCACGAATGTGTCATACGAGATTTTTTCTTTTATGTGTTTTTTCTTTTAAAGAGGAAAAAGAAAATATGTATCGTCATCTGTTTGTAAAGTAAATTTGTATAATTATAATGTAACAAGTTTATATCAAGAGTTAAATTATACGATCGCATTTGCAAACTCTGGTAAAATATTAGGTCTTTAAAGTTATAGTTCATGTAAAGCTGTGTACTTTGTTTATAAGGAGCAAATTATTAAAAGTTTGCTAGCAAGAAAGTTACAAAAAACAAAACAAAAACAATAAACTTACAACTACAAAAGTAATAACACTTTAGTCACTAACTGCATTATAAAAGTAATAAAACTATAATAGTGTTATTACATTTACAAAGCATTTATTATTTTTAAAGTTCATTCTTTATTCAAACAGCATTATTAATTCCAAACATTTATTAAAGTAGAAAAGCATCTAGAAAAAATAAAGCGGGTATTCAAATATTATTAAAAATTTCAGGAACTTTCACATATCACTTAAACAACGTTATAAAAAAGTACTTTATAAAAAGTATAGCATTATGAAAAACGTTACGTAAAAACACGTGTTAATTTTAAAATCAACCAATAAAAAAATTTTATTTGTTAATTTTAAAATTAACGCGCGTTTTTACGGTCCATTTACGTTTCTCATAATGCTAAACTTTTAATACGATACGTTTTCATAAAGTTGTTTGTCACGGTTTTATAAGTTACTTTAGTTTTAATATTATTTGAACATCCACTTTATTCTTCTAGATATTTTTCTACTTCAATTAAAATTTGGGAATACTAGTGTTGCTTGAACAAAGAATGAATTTTAAAAGTTATAAGTGCGTTATAAAAGTAATAACACTATTATAGTGTTATTACTTTTGTAATGCAGTTAGTGACTAGAATGTTCTTACTTTTGTAATCGTAAGTTTATTGTTTTTTTTTTTATTTTTTCGCTAACAAATTTAAGTTGATTCTCCCCTTACAAACAAGGAACACAGTTTTGTATAAACTAAAATTTTGAATACTAGATATTTTTCCAGATTTTGCGTTTTGCATTCGCTTAATTCAACCCTTCTTATTACATTAAAATTATACAAATAAATTTTACAAACACATCGCAATTTGTATTTTTGCTATCCTCTTAAAAAATATTAAGAAAAGGAAAATCATTCTTTTTATTGTAGACTTCAAACTGTTTTTTTTTTTGCTTCGCCTTATCTAATTTTGTTGCTGAATGTAACTCTAAAGAAACAAAAATAAAAACAGTACACAAATTATTTAAATTATTAATTTGTTTTTATTTTTTTCTATTTCAATCTCTTTTTATTTTGTTAGTTTTGTTTTTTTGTTTTTGAAACTTTTTCAGGATTATTATAAAACTTGCAAACGGCCGTGTTCACGTTTTCTAAAATATTATAATCACGTGTGGTCATACGAGACAAAAAACTACACGCCTTTTCTGGGAAGGCTTGATATATATATATATATATATATATATATATATATATATATATATATATATATATATATATATATATATATATATATATATATATATATGTATATATGTATATATATACATATATATATATGTATATATATATATATATATATATATATATATATATATATATATATATATATATATATATATATATCATATATGCCTTCTCAGGAGACACATGTGGTCACAATTTGGCCGCAGTTTTTTTGCATATATTGATAATTTGCGTGTTTTAAAAAATGCGCTGAAAAAGACAAATTAAAAATAAACAAGCCATAATTTTATAGGAGAAACGAACTTAACAAATGATAAAATAAATAAAGGATAAATCAGAGAAAATAAAAGCAGAAAACTAATTTATTTTTTAATTTAGAAGTGTCTTGATTAATAGTTCAAACTTAATTCAATTTAAAGCACTTCAATTAATAGTTTAAAGCTAATAATTTTTCCTAGATCGTCATGTTAATATAACGTTTAGATTGATTGTGTCGTTTATCAAGGGCAACTGTTAATACTATAGATGCTACCTGTATCAGTTTTACACTTTTAATTTCTGATCATTATATCAGACATTATTCATTCACAGCAGGCACAGATGTCCGTAAGACATTTATATGGCGTTTTAAAGACGTCACAAGTCCGTAAGTTTTCTAACTAACGTTCTTTGCCCATTGGGTTGCGTTTATGAGAATTTTTAACATAGTTGGGTTTATATTTTTCTTCACAACGTCTAAAAAAAGGAGATTTATCAATTAACATTTTGATATTGAATCTATATGAGAAACACACTTGAATAAATAAAAAAAACATAAAAAAATCCTTGTAGTATTTTAATTAGTCACAAATTCAAATAAGTATTTACAATTTCCCAATTTTTTGTTCTTGTTTTGGTTTATGCTGGTTGTTTGTTTATTGATTTAAGATGCTGTTGTTAAGATGCTGTTGTTATTAAATCATAAAATTATTTAAAAATTATAGTATTCAAAATAAGTTTATTTATTGTTGTAAACAATATGCTTATAGATTGGGAGAAAGCTACAGATTCTCACGGGCGTGTATATTACATAGACCACAATAGAAAAACAACTACCTGGCATCGTCCTCAAATTGATGGTGAGTTTTTTTTTTTGAAAGTATTTTGGGTTTCTTTTTTATTTATAAACTCTTTCTGAAGATAATTTAAAACATTTTTCTGACGTATATTAATAGTCAAATAAATGTTGGAAATTCCCTCTCTCCTTCTTGTCAGCAATTATCAAACATTTTGTGACTCTCCTAACTAACTTCAAACAATTTTAGCTAACTTCAAACAAAGTAAAAATGTTGTTAAAGGCAATTTATTATTAATTTTCTTTTTCTCCATCTCAATAACACGAGGCTACTAAAAGTTTGCACAAAATTGGAATGTTCGAAACTTGCGAACAAATTTGAATAATCTTATTTCATAATCTGATACTGATTTTGGCAACTAAAATTATATAAATAAAATGGATGGAATTTAAGAAAAGGACAAATGAAAGCTTATTGGAAACTTCTATTTCAATAACATAGACATAGGGAAAATATTTACAGTGCATCATTTTATACAAATAAAAGTTGCAAGGCGAACAATTTATAATATTATTGAAAGAGTTGACGGCAATATTGACCTTAAAAGAAAGTCGGGAAGTGGCAGAGAACCATATAAAATGGACATAAGAAAAATTATTTCACTTATTAACAAGACTGAAAATATAGTTGGAATCTCTCAGAAATTAAATTATGGAATTCATAGAAGTTATGTTTAAATATGGAATTCATAGAAGTTATGTTTATACAATTTTTCACATGCATGGACTTAAATATTTCAAAAGAAAGAAAGCACCAAAAAGCTCTGAAATTCAAATAATTAAACAAAAACAATGACTGTTGAAACTTTCAAAAACTTTTTTCCAACCGTCAAATGAGTTTGAAATTATCATGGATGATGAGTCCTATTTTACATTGAGCAGCCAAAACACACCAGGAAATGAAGGCTTTTATAGTCAAGATAAAGAAAAAACCGAAAATAATATTAAATATGTTTGAATCAAAGTTTCAAGCGAAAGTTTTAGTATGTATTGCAATCAGTAGAATTTGTAAATCAAAGCCTTTCTTTGCAGTTAAGAATAATGCCATTGATGCAAAAATGTGTTTCAAAGAATGCATTGAAAAGAAACTTGTTCCCTTCATTGATTCGCATCACAAAAATACAATATATATAGTTTGGCCTGATGGTGCAAGCTGTCATTATGCAAAGCTAATAATTGAAACTTATAAGAAGTTTAATATAACCTATGTTTCTAAGGATGATAATCCACCAAATGTACCGCAATTAAGGCCCATTGAGACATTTTGGGCGCACAATATTTTTGTAAAATACACTAAATAACATGTTTACATATTTACTCCTTAAGAAATTATGGATTTGTAAATAAAATTTGTAAGCATGTATGTACGTATAGATTCAAAATTAAGTAAAAAAACTCTAATTTGCAAAAACATTTCTGGAGGGTAGAGGGATGTATTATGTATATTTTATACAACATGTAGTTGTTTTTCATTTTTATCTATTATAATATTCCTGCTCAATGGTTTTAAAATTCCATTAGTGTAAAGTTGCATAAAGTTTTATACTGTTTATAAGTTATAATTAGGACAATGTGTAGGAGTGAGCCATTGATTCATAGCTAAAATGGGCCTAGAAAAAGACTTAAAATTTTACAAAGTAATTACAGGCAAACTGGTGTTAAGACTAATTATTACATGAATTCTTGGTTTGGGTGTTTGCGTCAGCTGTGTGTTTTCCTTTTTTAGGCGCAAAAATTATAATTTTGGTATTTTTTGAAAGTTCTTTAATGAATATGTCTGCTATTTTGAGATATTAGATAGTTGTCACAAAATAACTAATAAACAATATAAGTATATGTAACAAATTTTTTGTGTGCATAAACTATGCAATTATTGTACATTTAATATTTTAATCCAGTTGTACATCTTGGAGAGATATAAGTTACGGATAAGATTGAACTGTGGGCTAACCCATACTTAGTGTAACTTTTACATTAAAAAATTGTTGTCTCCTGCATTGACATAAATAAAAAATTCATCAAGTTTGATTTTTAGTATTTCAAGTGTTATAATGTCTTAAGTGCATAAAATAACTACTTGAAAAGCAAAAACTTCCAATAAAATATTAAAAAATTATTAATTTTAATCCAAAAGGAAAAAGTATTAGAAATACAGCAAAGACTTCCAACATCCCATATGCAACATTTTATCATTATTGGTTGATGGAAATATTAGAGTGACTCTGAACTATTATATTAGAATATTACCAGTGAAACAAGAGTTAGAATTGAAGGTATATATTTTGACTTACTTAAGAATGTTCTATGAACTTCCAATGAAAGAATGTCAGTGTATAGCTTTTGAGATAAAACTATCTATAACTATATATATATATATATATATATATATATATATATATATATATATATATATATATATATATATATATATATATATATATGTGTGTGTGTGTATATATATATATATATATATATATATATATATATATATATATATATATATGTGTATATATATATATATGTGTATATATATATATATATATATATATATATATATATATATATATATATATATATATATATATATATATATATATATATGTAAACACACACACATATATATACATAAATATATATATTCATACAGTAGTGTTTGATTTATTAAAAACACACGTCACTTTTGATTAAAAATACAACTGAATAACAAAAATAAAACAGAAAGATAAACTTTATATACCAAACGATAGAGAACAAAAACTTAACAATTATATGTATATTTAATATTTGGTGTGTCCACCCTTGGCCTTAATGACTTCGTTTATACGATTTTTCATAGATTTCACCATGGATGAGCAATACATCTTAATGTCTTCCTCCCAAGTCTTGGAAATCGATGAAATTAGTAATTCTTTATTAATATGAGGTAGTCTATAACTTTAGCTTTTAAAATACTCCAAATATTTTCGATAAGGTTCATGTTGGGACTATTTCCCGGCCATGAAAAGCTCTTTAACCCTTCTGAAAGAAGTTGCTGGGTAATTTTTTTCGCTGTATGGCATGGAACTTTGTCATGCATAAATATACACTCTGTAAGATCTCTGTAACATTTCCTCATTTGTGGGATTGGTTTCGATGAAAAAACAGTTGAATATTGTTCAGCATTCATCATGCCTTCAACAACATGGAGCTTCCTGGTACCATTGGATGGACATGATGCCCCATATCATGACCTTTTGTGGATGTTTGACTGAGGTTAAAAGCATTGAATCTTGAAGAGGTGACTCTCCAGAACGCCTGCGTACCATATTCCTTCATATATTAACTGTTTCAAACGTACTTTCGTCGCTAAATGCTACCTAAAACTAAATAAGTTTAAGTGGCTATTTTAAGTATTATTATCAAGTATATTAAAATATTTTTTTTCAAAATTCGATTTTTTCATACCTATTTCCATTGATGTTCAATCCAATCGCGATTTTCTATAGCCCACGCTAATCTTGCCTTTTTCATTTGAATTGACAAAATTGGTTTTTTTTTTCGCAGAGTAACTTCAAAAGCCTTTTTCCAAAAGATGTTTACGTATTGTTGACCATGCAACAGAGACTCCCAACTCTTCCAAACCTTGTTTTATTTGCATGGATGTTATGGAATGATTCTTCATAACTTCGCTCAAAATATAAGATTCATCCTGTCGAGATGTCTTCCTTTTTCGACCACAATTTCGCCTGAAGGATGTTTTAGAAGTAGCAGCCATTGATAATTTCAAACAGAAAACCGTTGCAACACTGACTTCAGTAGCTGCTGCTATCGTTTTATAACTGAATTCAGTGTTTTTAAGTAAGGATCTAAGTTCGGCTTTCTTAATTTCCGATAAATTCTTTGATTTCCCCATTAAAATTGTTTTATATGAATTATAACTTGAATAATCTAAAATTTATAATATTAACTCTAAAATAATTACAAAAATAACAAATACACTTACTAATAAAGTATTAAAAAATGTAAATGTGATTATGTAATTTACTACATAATCACAAAATTACTCAAGTTTTGATCATTTCCTTCAACTTACATCTTACATCTTATTAACGCTGACATGCAATATTGTTACATAATTTCATAATTACGTCATTTATCATTTATGATTACTAATTACTCAACTTTAATGGCAATTCTTAAGGAAAAATCATTTAATGTCACTTAAATCAATATAATAAAACATTGTTTCCTAAAATTTTTCAATAAAACTTATTTATATGCAATAAATATATTCATTTATTTAAATTTTATTAAACCGAACTAGTGTTTCTAATAAATCGAACACTATTGTATATATATATATATATATATATATATATATATATATATATATATATATATATATATATATATATATATATATATATATATATATATATATATATATATATATATATATATATACATATGCGCATATATTTCTCTTTGAAGAAGATGATTCTTGGGTTTGAAGCATCCAAATTTTGTCAAAATTATATAAGTAATATTCTAATTATTATCTTTATCCATAATTACAACTTGGCCTACAATATGAAATGGTGTCTTTTTTCTAACCTTACAACAACATATAAACTAATAGATATTCAGAAGGTTATAAACACTCCAGCATCATCTATTCGTTTAGAGCAATTTGAATCTATTTCATAGCTGCTTTCATCTAAGAAGTTGTCAATTTTTTTTTACATGTGTGCTTGTTTTTGATGGAAAAAAGAATCATCAAAGTCATAAGCATTATTATATAAATCACTTTTTTTCAGTAAATAAATTTTTTATTTTTAAAGTTTCACTTTTGGCTTTGTATACCTTCAGATTTTTCAGCTTCTTGTAGCTCTATATACATCTTGGAGCTTGAAGGCGTATCATGATCACTTCTTTAAAAATATTTTAAAGAAGTTAGATTTAAGGAGTCATTAAATAGGATATTTTTTATTTTGATTAGCTTGTGTTTTGATTGGGATTTAGAAA